AAATTTGATTTTTCATACATATTTCGTACCAATATTGCAAAAGTCAGTATAATAATCAATAATCGGTTGAATAAAATATTGTTATAAATATGTTGATATATCAATTAAATAATAATTAATTCATCTATTATGGGATTTAAGACGCTTATACATCTATATAACTATTATAATTTATAACAGTAAGATACTCGAGTGATTATATAGGTACCTCTAAAAACGCTCGAGGCAACTCGAGTAAGATAATCCACCGGTCTAGAATGGATAAGACAGCAAATAGTATTATTAATATCAAACACTGTTGTTACGTTTATAGGTGAACGACTACCATAAATCGCGGTCGACATGATCATTTTCATTAACGCAAATGTATTCAACGCACATACTGTGTACACGTCATATATTCGAATTTCACCGAATTTTCATCGGTCCTTCAGTTTGCAGGACCAAGTGTTATTATTATTGTAAACCGTAAGCGCGGCCTACCAAATGAAAGCTTCATTATATCCGGTTACAAAAGCGGTTACCGCTCATAATAATTGTGATTTGGTTACGACGATAATGGTATTATTATAATAATATGTTGTTGTTATCGACGCACGTCGTTGTTAATGAAATATTCGTCCATTGTCGCGTATTTACACACGCACACAAACAATTTCTCTCACACCTAATAGAAAAACCTCTCTACGTTCCTCATTTTATAGTAAATAATGATTATTTTGGATAAAAAGTGTGGAAAAATGTACGAAAGTAACAGCATGTAAATCGAAACTATTCATGTGTGCATATCCGTTTAAAATTAAATCCGAAAAAAAAAATTGAAAGAAGCCATTTTTTCTTACAGCTACGATGTAACTATAAGTATAATAATATAAGGCACAAATTTTATCATTGTATAATGTGTAAAATTAGATTGTGTATACCGGAAGTAAATGTTCAAGCATGTTATTAATAGTTGATTGTGTTTATTATAACATTGTATGTAGGTACCACTATGGTTATTATATGCACATTCATAGTATGTTTGCGTGTTTGCGTGTATGTTTTATGTTTACTGTTTTATCTATCAGTCTATCACCTATACTTTGATTATTGTTCTCAATTTTAACAGATCGCATGAATAATATTTTAATCACAAAAAAAAAAAAAAAAAACATTAATTACAAAAAAATAAAACCAGTAGGTTGATTTTATTCTGAATAATTTGTATTATTACTCGCACTATAATATTTTTTCTAATTTTAACTCTATTATAATTATAAATAACAATAAATATGATAACAATAACGATATGATTATAGTGTGCATGGAATAAATAAAGATAACCAATGTTGAAAAGAAAACGTGTAATATATGAATTAAGACAGTCGGACTATAAAACAGTTTGGTACACATTTAATGTATTTCATAAAAGTATAGTATCGTACTTATATATCACGTACAATGGCGTATTTTTTTAACTGTATTAGATGTAATTACATTTATTTTATTATTGATAACAGGTAACTGTCACTTATATTAAATTATTATGATATCACTAGAACAGGCAACGTACCTCGACGATGATGATTTAAAATTATTTTCACTAAATCACTGACATGCATTTGTATTCTTGTAAACCAATGTCAATCCTTGTAACTAATAGAATTAACTATTTATAACTATATGCTTTGTAGCTATAACTAGTTGTTTATAGTTATTGTAACAACTATTCCTCGTTAATTACATTTAATTAGATCATTAATTGTCTATCACAAAACAATCTAATCGAAGTTTGTCCGTTGACCTCCATATATTGTTCAAGACATACTTGTATTTATCTCTACGTTAAAGTTTTCTCATTTTGTCCTAATTAAGAAGGAACAACGTTTATTCCCAAGAAACATAAATCATTTTTGGTTAGGTATAGTTATGAACATAATCCCTCTCCGCTCATAAATACGATTTTATAGATGATAAATGTCCTAAAAGCAAACGTCGGTATCCGAGTCTAAATTAAATTCCCGTTTCATGGCGTGTGTGATCGTGTGCAGGTAAAAAATCCCGACACTTTCATTGAGCTTGCAGTGACGGTCGTGTCACCAGCACAGGCTAACCACAGTATTGAAACCACCCTGCAGCGTGTATCGGTTAGCCGACCCGTTATGACTTTATTGTGCACTGTATTAGGCGAATGCTCGTGAATTTTGTTGTGTACAATACAAACACGTTTTATACAAGAATCACGTGAAGACTAATGCGTAGAATATTCGTGGCATTTGCACGGGTTTTGAGTATTTTTATCTCACACGGTACGCCCATTTATTATATAGCCGATGGAATGACGAATATTCGAGGGAAACTTTAGCCCGGAGTGCATTCGAAACACGTGTTACAGCGACGGGAGAAAAAGTACCGTGATGGCCACTACCGTGGTTGTATCAAGCATATTATAATATGTACATATATATTGTACCTAATAAATGTTGTGATTGCTTTACGTCAAAACAGATTTTTGAAAAATCGGCATGAATTCGGATTTCCGCGAAACACACAAAATATATGTTCATAAAACATATCTTAAATTCACATCGATTATACATTAGCGATTTGCGGAGACGTGCAGAATACGACATAGAATGAATAAATCGAACAAATTCATGTAAAATAATATATTCATAGAGCAAATCTACAAAGTAATGTTGACGTTTTCACGAGCACTATCTCAAATCTCATATTCTAAAGCAACTGGATATATAAAGTCAGATGTAATTTTGTTTGTTTTGCTTATATATTATACAATATCTGTATTAAAATAATATATTTTAAAGACAGAAATATATTTATTTTTTTTTCAATAAATAAAATACGATTGATAAAACACATTTAATAAAAATAGCTTAAATATTAATTAACGAGAAAAAATAAAATAAAAGTATATTTAATAATACCTAGTTATAAGTTATAAATTATTCTTCAATACAATATAAATGAATATTATAATATTATAATTTAAAAGTGGCTTATGAAATAATTCAATCTATTTTAAGGCGTTTGAACGGATGCAACCATTAAAGGTGTACATATATATTTGTTCAAAACAATAAATTCTAATATGGAGTCGTATTATATTGTACAACGCAAACTATTTAAAAACATATATCAACATTACCATGAAATACATGAAATTAACGATAAAGTATCGTATATAAAGATATTTATTGTTTATATGCGACTATATGTTTTGAGACAATCGTTTGCGTTCAACGGTGAACCCGATTTTATAACTTTAATTATTACATAAAATCTTATGGGTTTTAAACGTTTTTTTCAACAAAATTTATTTTTACAAGTCATGAAAAAAAATTAAAAAAATAATACTCGAATTATTAATGAGCGAAGTTTAAACCGTGTTTTCTTTAGAATAATGAAAGTCAATAAATTATTCATATACAAAGTTTTCAAAATAATAATCATGACATCTAAGTGTTCCATTTATTCAGCAATAATTTATACAATTATGCTGCTTTAATAAATATCGTATTACATACTATTTTTCATTTTATAGCATAATGCGTAACGTTAGTTACTCGTATATATATTTTTTTTATCTATAGTAAAGTTAAAAAATATGCAAACTGGTACTTACAGTGGGTACCAAATAATGCAGTATTATAAGAAAATACGAAGAATCTGTTTTTATTATAAACAACAACGATATCATTGGCTTCTTATTTTTTATTTTTATTGATGTCGTGACAACGTTAAGCTGGCATACGTCGCCACACTGGGGAGACAACTTAAGTTTTTGCAGCCATGTAGTCGACAAATTACAAGTCATTGCAAAAGTTTCTTTTTGAATTAAAAAGCAATTAAGTCTGAGAAATGGCATTGCCGTTCGTTTGATGTTTAAACAGAGAATTAGTATAATAATAGTAGTGATAATGATAAAAAAAAAAAAAATAATAAAATATTTTAATTCAAATACTGTAATTGAATAAACATTTAAATAAAAAATGTTTATAAAAATCAACTGAAATCGAATAAATGCGTTTAATGCCGACCAATATCTGAGTCTTAACGCAGATGAAAATTTGTGGTGCCTTTTATCTTATAATAATAATAATAATTAAAAAAAACGAATGATTTATTTTTTATTTGTGCATGACCGCCAATGACACCTAATCGAGAAAATCGGGTAAAAATGCGCGGAGTAACAAATTAAAAATAAAACACACGCCCATGCGATGGCAACACGACGGTGATGTGCGCTTGGAGTTAAATCGTGTAAGAAGAAGAAAAAAGAAAAAAATTCGAGAAACGGGGAAAAACGGTTGAAAAAAAAAAGTGTTTGATCCAAAAGTTTGTTTCTGGTAGCCGGACCTATCAATTTTCCGTCCCCGACCAACAAACGACAATTTGTCCAATGAATCGGAGATTATATTCGAAAAACACTTTGGAACAAGATTACACCACTATAACCATAATACATGATATGATGATATTACATAATGTGATCGTTTACGTTGTCATGCACGCCTGTGTGTACACGCATGGCGAAATAGACTTTGACGGAGAGAGGGTGAAGAGGAAGAGAGAGAGAGAGAGAGTGAGAGAGAGTGAGACGGAATGAGTGTGTGATAGGAAGACAGAGTGAGGGGGATTCGGTTCTCGGCTGTCGTCTTCGGCTGCCAAGGATCGCAGCGCAGTGCGCGTAATCTGTTTTCCTCCTCTGCCGCGTAACGACGCCGACACGAATTCGACAGCCGACTCACCGCTAAAACCGTTTCGGACTAAAACACCTTGACGTAGGTGCGAGCTTCCGGCCGATCGATCGTTTCCCACCGGGGCAGTGTCATTGGTATGCGATTACATCGTATTCGCGTGTCCATCGCGCGAAATACACGCGTATCCGGACCGACTGTGCGGCGTACGTGCAGCGGCGGAATGATTAATGGACCGGAGAGCAAATAACGGGCGGCGATAACTGACTAACGATATTACATGTATTAGGTACTCACTGGTCACGGTCAGCGTGATGCTAATGGAATGACCGCGTCCGTCCATGCCGGTCGCGGTGCAAAAGTATCTGCCCATGTCCTCCGATTTGACCGTCTCGAACACCAACAGAAGTCCGGTCTGGTTCCGCGGCATGGCCCACTTTTGCGAATGAACCCTGTGAAATCATCGTCGTCGTCGTTAGTACACGATAACATCATTGTATCTATTGATTTTTTTTTTTTTTTTTTGAATTATCGTAATAATTATTATCATCGATCTAAAACACGATTACACGGATGACCAGACGACCCAAAAATATATTTTGCTGTTAAACACACAACGATTACGGATGGATCATCTACTCACAACCCTATTAAGAGTTAAACATTGTTTTTTGATTGATATAAAACTGTATCTATAACCGTATAGTTGTTGTTAAAATAACAGTAAATATATGATGAAATAAATGAAAAAACTCTCTCGAAAAAAAAAAAAAAATTAAACGAGTTGATTAATACGAGCGTGGAGGGACCAAGGGAGTCATTCGTATCAAGAATTGTGCAACTACCATCGCCGCTATAAAATATTGCGTTTTATTATTTTTACAGCAAGTATAATAATTGCAACATAAAGTACAAATTGTTATTCCCTATGCTAAAAAAACTTAAATGTGTAATAATATTATTACTTAAAATTCTGTGGCATTATAAAATATGTTTATTAACCTAATATTAATATAAACAAATAAATAACACGTCGTTAAAAACCCACGATTGTAGTTTAAGTATAAATCTAACAACATCATTAAGAATGACATCAAAAAACATTTTTATTGGAAGTGCATAATTAATTGTTAAAAAATACCTAAGTATTACGAATCATTAAAAAAAAAAAAAAAAGGTGGAATTTTAGATTTTTAGTAGAATTTTACATTAGAGAACGTTTTTACAACGCTATAGTCATCAAATAAATGGGTTGAAAAGAATAAGGGGTATTGAATAAATCAATTTTTTTAGTTACACAAAAAATATATATTGGATTTAAAATAATGTGTGTTTTCTTATATCTATCTATATATATATATATGGTTATGTCAAAAGTCACTTTTTGTAATACAAAATTGCTTTGATCATCAACTTTGAGATCAGAGTGTGCTATCAAATTAAATTAAGTTGATACTTTATGAGGTCAAAAGTAATAAAATTCTCAGTAATTTTCATAATAACCGGAAGAACTAAAAAAAAATATGGAAAAATGGGAACATAATTATATGTAGGTATTACATCACTATTATATTTTAAATAATATATACGCAATATCAATTTTATTAAGAAAATATTTTATTATTTTATGAAAAAAAGTTTTAACTTTAAAATGCTTGAAATTTTCAAAAATATTTGCGATACCATTTTAAAGACATTATATGGTACTTAAATAATTTTGAAAAATACGTTTGTTATTCTTGCTTTTTTTTATCTATTTATAATATATAAACATAAAATTTGTTTTCAAAGTTATTTTTGGTTTTTTCCCTATAAATGTTGATAAAAAAATTATATCATTGGTAAAATGTTGAAAATTTAACACAATATTCTTCAGCAACTGTTATTATTGAAATTTATAAAAAAAAAGTTATAGTTAATCTACTTTAATTTTTTATAAGCGTATAAGTTAAAGTTTTGACAAAAGCAGATTGTTCTTATCTAAAAATATCAATAATATGATTGTTGTTTTTTTAAGTTTTAATTTTAATGAAATCGGATATTTGAATATATGTGTTTTATGAAATCGCTGAAAATCAATAAGTGTCAACAATTATAATAAGAATCAATATTTCAATATTTCAATTACATTACTGTATTTTATATAATTTTATTCGGTAACTTCGAATAACTCGATGTTCGACAGAATTGATACATAAATAATAAAATAATAATTATAACATTATTGCAAATATATACTGAAATTCTTAATTATATTGTTCAACAGTTATTATTTCGTTATTTTAATAAAGTTTTTTGTCTACATATATGTATAATAATTACAGGAACATTAGCATAACATATTTTTAATTTATTTTATCTTATACTTTTGATATGAGTGTAAAATATAGTCCTGTTTACTTATATTCCATGATGAAAAAAATTAGATACCTAGTAAATTGGATTTAATTTATTTACGTAAGTAATGCAATTATTTGAACATTTCTCATACTTTGATATGGTTATGATTAGTCTAGTTTTCATTAAAATTATACCTATGTTAATAAATATTAATTAACATGAATAAACACAATTATATATACGTGGAGGTAGATTTATAAATAATCATTTAGTTTGTATTGCGAAATATATAATATACAGGATAAGTTTTCATCATTCTAAAATTTTAAATATATATTTTTAAAATAATAAATAAAATACGTACACGTTGTAGGAAAAACAATCATTTTTGATCAGATTAGGCTAGATTATTTTTTTATAGTATTATTGTCATTTATATTAAAGAGTTCATAGAATACAGTGAGTAAGTTTCCCAACAAAATCACAAGAAAATGGAAAAATCATGGTGTCCTATACTGTATGCAATCAATATATTATGTAAATGAATTCTACATAAGTCATAAATTTTATTTACGATTAAATTTTAAATAGTTTTTCGCTATTTGAAACGGATAATTCTTATAAATGCATCGAAAAAGTTTTTATTTTCTGCACTTTTCTGAGAGAAAAAAAATATAAATCAAATGAAACCATTTTGTGCAAATCCTGTAGTAAAATACTACCGCAATCATAGTATTTAAATAATTATTGTCAATTATTCTATTTTAATAAATCCCTGAAACGTGCTGAAGCTTTATCGTGTATTATATTTGTATGATGATTAACTATACTACATAATAACATGAAAATAAATTTCACTTGGAATTACAAGCGCGTTTCATCGTTATTGTGTAAGAAATGTTATTATTCACATGTGTAATAAATACATGAGTAACTTAATCTGAAAAATAGAAACATAACTTAATAAACATTCGAATAACACGAATAAACAAATCAACGCCTGCTGGCTTCTTTTATTTAATTACAACTTATCATATTATTAAAACAATCCCAACCTATCGGAATATATAACGATATAGCAATAACTGTAAATTCTATAGTTTGTATATATTTTTAGTAATATATGAAAATCGAATTACATTATTCAAGTCAACTTTTACACCGCAGTACTACGAAATATACATTTTATTCGCCCACAAGTAAAACAATATTTTTTTGATTCAGATAAAAATGAATGCAATTCAATTTATACAAAGATATAATAATAATTAATTATCATGATGATTGACTATCAATAATGTTTTCACCTAATAATAAACATGTTTTTGTTATAATAAGTTTTCATTGTTACTTGTCAGGTTTTATTTTAATGAAATTAATATGAATATAGTTTTATTATTATTAGATTGTCTTTTAGCTCTCCATAAATTATTATTATTTACTAGCTATCAATAAATATAACTTGGTTTATTGTGATAACTATTAAATCGCTTAATTATTTTTATGTTTAAAATAAAAATAATTAATAATTAAATATTTTGAATGTTTTTTAGTCGAAGTAGTGCATATTATATAAGTATAGACTTGAATTTAAATATTAAATTTAAAGCTTCCCGCAAAAAATTATTATAATAAATCTAACATTTATGATTTAATAAATTCACCATTATTAAAACATAAAAACAGATTAATTTGCTATTTATAAAATTAAAGCCCTTATGGTTCATAAAATATTATGCTATACTATAGTGTAAGCAAATTTGATGTCATAGAAAAAAAGTTCCAAGCACATAACAATAAAATAAAATGAATAAATAATATTTTCATAAAGATTGTTTCAAAATTAGACATATAAAAATAAAATGATGTCTGTAAAATAATCCTTTAATAAATATTTAATAAAAAATACAATAAAAACTATATTATATTATAAAATAATAATTTTCAAAAAAATAATCCGAAATCGATTTTACTAACATCAAGCAAGCCATAGATTTAAACACTCACGTTTTACTGTAGACTTTCTTTATGGTGGACTGAAAACTACTGAGATATTCAAAAAAAGACTACCCTAATGTACCAAATAGATAGAAATGTCTAACCAATGGATAAGGTCAAATGCAATACTAGAAGCACTCAATCTATAAGAAAAAAAAATGCCCAGAGATCAAAACTAAGAAAAAAAATAAAAAAACAAAATAAAATATAAAATACTTCGTTGTAAATCTAATACATCACTCGCTTCGAAACCTAAAACAGTAATATTTATAGTATATATTGTGTAGGTATACTATAATATACTAGTATATAAAAAAAAAAAATAAACATGTTAGATTTTGTTTTTTATCAAACGCGTTTTCATTTTAAACAAAAAAAACAAAAAAAAAAAAAAATCGTTCAATTCTTATCATTATTATAATGTATACGTAGGTACTTAACGGAATACACAACGGAAATATGATCATATTTGTAATATGTGTTGATTAAATAGATTATGATCACAGGAGTAGAGTAAAAATTAAAACGTGCGTGTCACGTTGACGTTTCGTGTAGGTACGTACAGGTAGTGTACCTGTATATTAATATCATGTTCGCCAGTGGGAATCGCGATGGAAAGCCAAATAAGATAATTTAATATATATATATATATTATATTATTATTATTATTGCAGTAACTACTCCGAATAATAGAATTAATTAACTCTGCTGTTTGAATACGACTATAAAATACAGTCATTAATTCGTATTTCATTCGTTAATAATTTTGTTAAAAATGCAGATGTACCGTGAGTGTGCAAGATAATGATATAATAATATAGTCAGTACGTGTTCGAATATAACATGATATCGTCCCGGAGGAGTTAATGCGCATCGAGCAAAGTATCGATATTACACGCATACACCGACCAAATGCGTGTTCGGCTGGTGGATGATGATCGGAAAGTTTACGTTTATAATCAGCGTACGGCATTGACGCGACGGGAATTTGAGGCGAGAACGATATAATTTTTTTTTTTTTTTTTCCGAGCGTGACCAATAATAATGTGTTGACTTTTTTTCGTGTTTTTTAATTTTTTTTTTTTTTTTTTTTTATTTTCAATTATGCCGGTGTAAAACAATTTTTATTTAAATATCGACTACGACTGTTATTTGACATCGGAATATGGCCAATCGTATAATCTCGAGTCGAATCCACTAGTTCAGACACGTTGGCTATTTTTCAAACTACCAAAAGCTACTACCAACATAAATTACGTTAATCAAATAAAATGTTGTTCTTAGAAACTCATTTCAAACCACAGATACCTACCTATACGCTCTAACACAATATTATTATATTATTACAATACATAAAACTCATACAACCATGTAATTTGTAAATATATATATATATACGTTTGCAATATTGTGATTGGAGTGTTAATTAAACTTTACGAGTAGGAATGCAGTGAAATAGTTTTCTATTGTTATTTTCCATCGTCAGTTTGCAATAATGTGTATATGCATTACTATATATATTTGCATAATGTTGTGTACAAATTCAATATACCTAGAGAAACAATTTCAGCGAAAAACGTCTATGCTCATTTGAGAGTCAAATAGGTAAAATAATTTATGCGTAACAATATATTATGTAAATATATAAATATAAATATTAATACACAATTATTTATCAAATTAAGTCAATAAAAAACGTAAACTCGATTTATTGTTATTTATTTATTTATTATTATTATTATTATTATTACTTTCTACGTGATAATTCGTGGTTAAATTTATTGATTATTTATAAGTAATATAATGAAAAAAAAAGGAAATGTATTTTTTGCATTAAAATGTTATACAATTATGTTATTTATGTTTTCGCTTATTAATATTATTATAAATGTGATCGATGTTTGGTTATTCTGTAATTTATTACATTTTCCAAGTTAAGAGCACTCCAAGCGTGTTTCTTGAATAATATTAGTGTATTTGAAATGACAATGTAATGTTTGGTTGTTGTTATAAACGACGAGTATAAACACTTATTATAGTCAGATTAAATGAAGTAATTAATAATTATTTAAATAAAATTACACACAAGGCCAAGAGTTTGGAAATTTAAATTGTTAATACTATTAGATCAACAATAGACCAACAGTAGATCTAAAACTCGGTGGTCGTATATATCGTTTATTTTTCGTACATAAATTGAATTCTAGAAAAAATTATTTGCAGAAAGACATATATTAAATTTATATATATATATTTGTGTGTGTGTGTGTGTGTGTATCTAATACAAATATGATATAACTAATCAATGAACACTTTTATATTTAATATGAAATTTCATAAATCGTCTATAGACTATAATATACTGTCGTTAGTGTAATCAAAATAACTTAAATGCTATTATCAATAGATAAAAATATACGTAATTATTTTATTTTAACTCAGAATTCGTTTTTTCTTTTTTTTTTTTAAATTTTATTTAAATTACTAATCACATAAAACAGTAAATAGTGGACAATCGGGAAAAATACAATTGTATTTTGTACATGATAATTTAAAACATAAATGATACGAATATTTTTGAATAAATCGTCGTACATATTGAGTTTAAAGTTTAAATACTTAAAACACATTTTTAATGATATTCTCTATGGTAGTTTTACTTATTAAATTCTCCGAGTTATGTGGCTTGATCGACTCGTAAAATACCAACTAATAATAAAAATAAATGTATTTTATTAGGCGGCCGAAGGAATTTTACAATAATATCTGAAATACTATCTAATTTAAAGATTTTAAAACACAATACTACTCTTTTTAGTATATATTGACAAACTGCTATTATTACGAATAGTTATACAATATTATATTGTATAGGTATATTGTTTTTAGTAGTACAATAAAATAATTAAAATAAATAACTTTTGTTTTTATTATTTCAACTGTATACACAAGCCGTAAGAAGAATTTATTTTTGCGCTTGAAACGTAACAAGAGAAAAATAACGTCGGCATCGATGGGGTGGAAATATTTTAAAATACTGTTTTAAAGGGACGAATTAAATATAATCATAGCTGCGGAAAATCACCTGAACTGCGGGCTTTGCGATATTATGCCGGCGGGACCACGCCATTGGAATTCGCTGAGGTTTGGACCGTAGCACGTCACGCCGTACTTCGACCGTTCTTCTCTTACCGGTTCTACTTCGTTCGGCGTTATCTGAATGGTTTGCGATGCGCAGCCCGTGATCGCTACGAGCACTGTAAAGCAAATAAAAAAATAAAATAAAAACTATGTTATTAATCGAACTGGATCAAAACGTCGGGCACGACATGACAGCCGTGAACAACTGACATTTTAAATTCGAATTCCAACAGTCAGAGTATTGGTTAACGCCGTTAATGGTTATAAACACTACATATATGATATTATATATTATTATATTGAAACCGTTTTGCCATCACTAATGTTTTTGTTTCTGTTTCATTTTTATTATTATTATTAATAAAGCTTATTAAATAACACTACTGACGGTTTTCCACGTCGGGGGGAAAAAAAAACGAGTTATAATCAGTATTGGGTCCAGGGTGGAGCAATATGGTTTATGCTGACTCACCTCCAAGCACACTTCTCCATTTTAATTTCGGAGAAACTAAATGTATGTAAATAATATACTCTCGGTTATTATCAAGCTAATGTTTTTGAATAAATTATGTATGTAAAAAATATTTATTTACATAAAAAATATTCATCTGTTTTACGTTTTAAACTAATAGTCCCTTCCAGAATTTCACCCCAAATGAATGGTTGATTATACATTATAATGCAATCAATACAATGTCGTGTAGGTGAGAGTTAAAAAAAAAACATTATTTTGCTGACACTTGTTATATAATATTACACACAATTAGTATTAAAATTTATATTTCACAATACAAACATAATAATATGAAACTAACGGCACTGTAGAATATAATGTTTTTGCATGGTTAGTGCTTTGTGAAATAAATCCTGGAAATACCTAATATTATATAACAATATAGGTATGTATGCTCATTACAATTTACAGCAGCATCATGTTTTTTATTGATATTTTAATAGACCAGGTTGAAAATTTTTAAGACTGCGTAAGAATCTATTTTTTATAGACTATTAAAATATAATATACCTACTCGAGTATCATAAAATTACTCAAAACTGCGCGAGACACGTGGGTGTTCATCGTATCTACGCTACACTTGGCCAGTGTAAATTAGATGATAAACTCCAGTCGGAATTTTATAACTATAGGCGTTTTATAATTGTGGTTTCGAGCAGAATACATCGGGCCAGACTATTCATTGATGATCTCGTCGATATTTTACGCTAAGATAACTTAAAACTATTGCGTTGATCGTAACGAAAAACAAAGCGTTATACCCAATAAATTATATTTAAAATTATTTCAACGCGAGTGTTTATTAATATTATCCACCCGACACGTAACGCTGCAGCGAACCGCGCGTGTTTTAATCAAAATATGCTTTTCGCGTTCGATTAAACCGAAGCAATCGAAATGGCATTCGCGCGTAACGTGCTCGTCGACTCAAATATAGTCGAGTGGTGGGCGAGAAAAAACAAAACCCTACCGCCAGATTTATGAGACGAATTATTATTGTCACGGCGGTTGCGAACGGCGATGTATTTGTTATCGTTTCCTGCGACAAACAATACAACACCTATCTATAGCCGAAACGCCAAATACAGTACGTGACTAACGCGACGTGGTTCAAACGTGATGCAATATAATAATATTAAATTCGTAATTTGTCGTGAAAATGTTGATCCATTATCGGAACACGGCGTATATTGACGTCATTTTCGTCTAGTATCGTACGACCACGGCGACTGCATAATAATCCATTTTCTTATCACGCTTTTGAAATCACGAACGGCGTTAGGATTAGCAATACACAGATTAAATTACTGCAATAATTTACCTATAGGTAATAATTATTATTGTACTGGATGGTCACGCCATATTTTCTCGTTTTTCCGTGTTAGTTTTGTGCGAAAAACGTTGAGAAATTAATACGAGTCTATGAACCTGCACTCTGTATAATGAAACAATACACAATTGCGTATATATAATATGATAAGTTGTGCATTTAAACTGTACCACCAGCGCACGTGCGTATTACATTCATCGCGCCGTGACGGTATAATAATAGTCATAAATTTTACGTCATATTTTATAACGCAACAAATAATAATAATAATAATAGATAAAACATATTAAAAATTGCCATAAATAATATTAACACATGAATATATTTTAATCCTGACTTTGTAATAATTTCACAACAGTCGGAATCATCATTTGAATTCATTAATCCCTCGTCAATCCTCATCTAGAAACTGCGCGGATCTGATAAAAAAAAAACCCCATAGATATATTTGTATTACACCAACAATGTATTTTATGATTAAAATATGTAAGAATTCGGTTTTTTTTTCTTTATGTAGTTCCAGAGAAGGGGGAATTTCATTTCACGATCATTATATTGTTTATATGTTGAAATGTTTTATGTGGTATTCGCACTTACGAGGTTTATGATCGTTCAAAAATACGAGCTTTCAGACATCCATCTAAAACACATTAACAGAATTTGAATTATGTCTACTGCAGAAGATTTTTTTTCACTACAGTACAGTAATTCGATTTTTAAAGAGATCGCGAGTTAGTGTGTTATCGATTATATTATTTTAATTAAAAAAAAAAAAAAAAAAAAAAACACTGAGCGATAAGATGTCAAAGTGTAATGCGACAATCAACGATCATTCAAAACACAATTCTGATTGAACTCGATTTTCATTCACGTGCAGTTATTATTAGTTCGTATAGTCTTGTTATACGAGTATGATGATTTTAACATATTTATTTTTCGTACATCGCCATTCGCCTGCAATCGATATCAAGGTCGGGCGGTTCACGAGTGAAAAGTTCTAACAAAATGAACGCGGGGTGATTGAAAAACATTTCTAGTCGTGTTCTGTTCGGGTCGGTTCATGAACAATATCATGTACGCGAAATCCCCGCAACGCGATAACGTCCGTGTTCCGTATCCAGCTTTTCTCCGCATTATTAAACCACAACCACCGCAATACGTGTATAATATAATAATAATTTACTCGTGCATATATACGAGTATATATTATAGGTATATATATATTATATATATGTATAGTAATAATATAATATATATGTTAAACACTTGCCGGTGATTGGGAGGCGGCGATCGTACAAATAGTCGCGAAAAACGGCCGCCGAAACCTTTATTTAAATTTATGTAAAACAGAATCGTTGAAATTACTTTCCGTTTACGAGAAAGAGAGCCGTCGGCGCCGCGGGACCGTGCGTCGGCGATACCCCGCCGACGTCGTCGTTTATAAGGAACGCATTACGTAAATACGAGTTGTATATCATGTAAAATATATTTATTTTTTTCAATCTTTGTACGCCTTTATACCGCGCCGGTGCTGTTATCGTCAACGTCTATCGCTCAACGATGTTTTCGATAAAAGTACAAAAAACGATTTTCAAACAAAAACCTCCCGAAACACGCGTTTAGGTCTACTATAATATTACGAAAACTATAATCATCTTATACCGTTATGTTTATTATTCGGTGAACGACAGCGGGGGCGCGTGGTCTGTGATACTAGGACGGACGCCCGAAATGATTTTAGTCGTATGGCCGATAAATAAAGAAACACAATATGATCCATAATCTCCCCCCAGAGTGCTGTGCAAGTTCCAAAAGTCATCGGCAATATTTATGAAATACGTTTTGCCACACATTTGTTACAGTTAAGCTCACTATTGTTTCGCGTTTCGTGTACTCGTAATCTTCAGAGTTAAGCGATCTAGTCGCTGTGACAAAAAACTGTTTAATCGATACTGCATTCCGCGTAATTATCGAATCATTAAAAAATGTCTACATTATTGTTTCGTTACAATATAGCATCACGGCGTTACGTAATTGATTTGTTTAATTTTATGTTGTAGTTTACGTGGTTTATTTACAGGTTAAATGAACACTGTGGTTTTGGAATTACTTAAGACAATACAATTAAACAATCGTATACCGTTGATCTAAAATACGTTTCAAGGAGACGAAAATAAATAATGTAAATTCAAAAACCGGAAAATTCGTTCTGTTGTATAGTAGGTGTTCAGTTTGTCACAGTAATGGATGCGTCAAGTAGTAATTCAAATATAAACCACTGCACAAAGATATAAAATAGTATTCGGAATACGGAATGTCATGTCATATTAATAAGTGTATAAGTATTATATTAATTATTTGTATTGATACTATATTAGTTTATTTTATTGAAATAATACGTGGTAGGTTGAATAAATATTTTCTATACAAATCGTATTTATTAAATACGTAACAACAATAAAACGTATAGTGAATGTTCTACATAACTAAATCTATTAAGCGCCAAAAAAAATCGATATATTGAGAAATTAATTAAAAAGAATTTACATGTTTATAAATTTATTTTTATTTAATTAAATAAATTGCATATTATATTATATTTATACAATCATATTACATTTTTTAAATAAATTTTTTTATTTAAGAGAAATAATCAGCAAGTTTTGTTTGCTTAATCTTTTTATTATATAAAATTTTGATTTCTTTATCGCTTAATATATTTATGATTTTTTAATATGGTTAAAAGCGAGAATTTATGAAATACCATATTTTTCAGCATTATTTTTGTTCTTATTTTATAACACTGTTATTGACTTAATATAATATTTACAATTTATCGACACTTACTAAATATTTGTATATGTTTAGAAAAAATAAGAGAAAATTTGAGCGTACATATACGTTTACGTAAATATTGGAACTGTAATACTGTTGTAAAATTATGAGTTAAGTTTGACTATCTTCAGTATCTTATCTTATTGGCTAAAATACAATAAATATTTTGTTGAACAGAAAACGTCGTTAAATATAAGTTCGTTATATATGGCTTTTATTTTACTACTAATTACAATTAAACTAGTTTATTATATTGTTAATATAAATTTTTAAATCAATAACGACATATCGTAAAACTACGAAAATAGATTCATGGTATATTTATACATATACATATATAGGTTATACTTTATTAATAATCTAAACATTTGAAAAATGTTATTTTGCAAATTTAAATATAATAATATAAAAAATTGTTTAATACATGCCAACAACAT